AATAATAATAATAATAATAATAATAATAAGAGAAATAATATACGAGATCCAGAAAACTTTTAAAAAGGAAAAAAATCTCTATCTTTTTTTTTTTTATTTAGTCTTTACTCATATAATATATATCTATACACACACAGTCTCTCTCTATCTTTCTCCCTCCGTCACTTTCTCTCTTCCCAATCTCCCACTTTTCTTTTTTTTGTTTTTTTTTTAGGAGTTCTTGTCAGCAAATGTCACGGATGTGGCGGTGAAGGACTTGATGTGCTCTCCTCCCGCCATGAGTGCGAGAAGTTCCATAAATTGTGTTGGCGCGAGTGGCCGCACGCCGCCGCCGAGGGCCTCGTTGAGGGCGAGTCGCAGTTCGTTGACGGTGGCGGAGGAGCGGCCGGCGGGGCGGTAGCGGCGGTCAATGACGTGCTCGAGCCGCATCATACTCCCCTCGACGGTCTGCCGTGTGGGGTCGGGGGCGCTGAACATGTCGAGATTGATGAGACCCGTCTGCGGGTCCGTCGCGGCCTCCTTCAGCGCCGCGCTGATCAGCCACTTCGCCTCCCGCACATCCTCCACACTCACGGAGGCGCCAAACCGCATTTTACACCGCGCCTCCGCCAGGCGGATCATCGACTCCAACTGCCGCAGCGTCGCCGACACCGTGCGGGTCCCACCACGCGCCCGTCGCATCTCCACATAAGACGTCGCCAGTTGTTTGTGAGAAGCCTCCGTCAGTCGCGGGTGCACCGTCTCACGCGCCAATGCAATGTACTGCGAGAGGATGCGAGGCGGCATGTACGGGGCATCCACCGTGCCCTCAAGAAACACCTCACCCTCGTGCTCCAGTACAACTTCACCACGTCCTGTAGGAAGGCCACTGGCATCCTCCGCATGTTGACCATCACTTTGGTCAGGCTTTCCACCATCATTAGAGTTTAAACCACCTGTACCACTTTGTCTACCATAATTATCATTATTATTGTTGGCATCATCCATTGTGGCAGCTGTAGTTTTTCCTTTTCGTCCCTCATCAGGTTCCATAAAAAGAGATAATACATGTGAAGCCAAACGTCTGTCCTCTGCTGGGTCATGACGATCAAGAAGAAGAAAAATGAGATCAAAACGTGACAAGAGTGTAGGTTCAATCTGAAGGTTTTCAACAACATTTAAATTCACATTCCACTGTGATTCTTTTGGATTTGCAGCAGCTAGCACTGATGTTCGAGCATTCAATTGTGCAACGATACCTGCTTTAGCAATAGATAAGGTCTGCTGTTCCATCACTTCATGCAATACAGATCGGGTCGCCTCATTCATCTTATCAAACTCATCTATACAGCATAAACCACGATCAGAAAGCACAAGTGCACCGGGTTCTAGTACTAACTCACCTGTCTCATGATTTTGTACCACATAGGCAGTTAAACCGACACTGCTACTACCTTTACCAGATGTATAAACTCCTCGTGGTGCAATTTCGTGCACTTGTGTTAATAATTGTGATTTTGCTACACCAGGATCACCACAAAGAAGAACGTTAATTTCTGCACGAAAAGTACCAGATTTAAGTTCTTTGCGTGTTCCACCAAAAAGTTGTGAAAGAATACCACGTTTTGTGTCTTCATTTCCCCAAATAGTTCTAGCAAAACTATTAAGAAGAATATTATAAATATCTGGACGACTAGCTATGCGGCGAAATACATCAAATCTTGCAGCCATTGCAGGATCTTCTTCAAGAGTTTCACCATTTGATGTTGCATTCGCTGTTGTTGTTGTTGTTGATGATGATGATGTTTTTGATTGTTGTTGTTGTTGTTGTTGTTGTTGTTGTTCCTTCCATGCGTTACGTCCAGCTCGACGATGCTCAATATGTACAGCATCCACGTGAGTGGCAAAGATACTGCGAATAATACGAGTGTTAGAGTTTAGACGGACAGGAGCTGCACGGTAAATACCTGTCACAATAACACGATCACCAGGGACAACAGCATCTACAGAATCACCATATACAACAAGAGAAATCGTAACAGGTGTTTCACCATCTGTAAGGTGTTCTGGAGCTTCTTGCAAACGCACCAATTGTTTATCCTCAAAAAGTGAAAGATTGTGATGAATCTTGTATGAATATTGTTTACCGCAGTGATCACATCTAGTAGGTTCAAAGATACGACCACGGTCTACGACACTTCGACGTACATGCTGACAAAACCAACACTGAAAGAATGCTACCCGTATCTCTGGAATAATCTTTGATACCCGTACCACCATCCCTTGTAGGGCGATGAGCTGTTCCAGATGCTGTGGTCCTAGTGCTCGCAGTGATATCGTCTCCGGAAGGTTTTTCGGAGCCACACGTAAAATATAATCATCCGATACAGACATATTTGTGGCAGAAGCAGCTTCAGCAAGGCGCTGAGATACTTCCTCTGCTACATTTCCCATCATCTGTAAGCATTCCATTGGGTGTGAAATAACTTGCTGATACACCCGAGGGCATGCCTTTGCAAGAATCTGTAAATCCACTTCAAGAACATTGCGATTCTGTAAACGAAGTCGTAGTAATTCTTGTAAAAAATATTTTTTAGTGGTACCGCGACGAGAACCTAGAAGACAACTTACACGTTCTCCAGTCTCTAATACACTATTATCATTGTTATCATTGCATATTTCAAAAGTTTCTAAGAAATTTTGAAACTCCTCTCGGAACGTCTCTACGGCGATTCCAGTACCCCAAATATACGAAAGGTCTTCACGGCGGGCAAAAGATGACGACAATGGTTGTTGTTGTTGTTGTTCTATTGGTCGTGAGGGTGGCATTTCTGCCTCTCCATCAAATAGAAGCGGTGGGGGTAAAGGTGGTGACTGCCATTCTGCGGCTCTTGAGAGATCACCGGAGCCTGTAGGCCGCCCTGTGGAGCGTATGGGTGTCAATTCCACCAGTGAGTCTCGATCCATACCGCCCACTCTCAACTATTATTATTATTATTATTTCTATTAGTTATACTACTCTCTTAGTAGACTCCAACTGATTCCGGTTCGCGCAAAAATACTCACCCCAAACACTCTGTTCCTTTTCTTTTTGTTGTTGTTATTATTATTCTTAATCGTGTAACCTTCTATGTATTTTTTTTTTATCTATGCTAGTTAAATGAAAATCGAAATAAAAACAAGAATAATAACATTTTTCTCAGATAATGGGTTAGAATGTTTTTTTTTTTTTTTTACTTGTCACTCCTCTTGGGTAGATAATAAATGGGTAACTGTCACTTTTGTGTATCCCTGAGAAACATACGGTGTGAGAGAATCAAACAGGAACAATCACCACTATCACAACAACCATCATCATCTTCTTCTTCTTCACCCGTATCAAGAACAACCACAACGTTTCAATCACAAACACGGAGAAAACGGAGTATGTAAAAGAAAAAAAAAACAAGATAAAAATATAAATAGATGTATACACACACCTCCGAGAATAGAAACATGTCATTAAAGACGCATGAGAAAGTAATAAGAGACATTGCATCTTCGCATATCTCCAAGCGTTCCATTACATCATGCAATCCAATGTATAGTGAGCAGATATGTGTTTCTTTTTTTTTTTCTTCGTTTTCCTTTTTTATTTATTTATTGACCTCCTTCATTTTTTTTTTTTTTCGTTCGTTTGTTTTTCCTGTTTTTCTTCTTCTTCTTCAGTCTAATCAGACGCAATCAGAATCTATGACACCTATACCCCAATCCCCTATGAATAAGCATCCTCTCAATGTTTCTCTTCTTTTGAACCATCAAATACAAAAAAAAAAAAAAAAACAAAGATAAAAAACATTAGTTCAACCTTTTCTCTCTAGTGTATTTATCTTTCTTGTTTTCTTTTTTTTTTTTTTCTTTTTTACGTTCTTTTTTTTTTTTTTTCTTTTCTTTCTTCTTTTTACTCTTCACTTTTTTTTCGGTTATGCCACATCATGTTGGGCCTGTTGTACCCTTTTGTACTCCTTCTGCGTCACTGCAAGATTACCCCCATAAACCCTATAGAATGCATTATATTCTTTGCGCTGAAGAGGAACGAAAAACCATTCCACTGGTGGCCCATGAACGTGAACAGGCAAACCAGTAAAGGAAGAACTCTCTTCTCGCTGCTCTTGTTCGTGTTTTTGCCGCTGTAATTCCATTTCAGAACGAATTTGTTCCTCTGAACAGTAGCAAAGACGATTTAAAATAGGACCTGGTTCTTCCATAAAGGCCATTCGCTCTAACCATGGCCGAGAGATAAATACTATCTCTTCATCCTCACTTTGAACATCACCTTTTGAATTCAATTTTTCACTTGTAAACATAATCCGATCAGTTGTTACATCTGACACATCCTGCGGTGGTGTCGCTAGAAGCAGACGTGCACAATTGCGAAGTTCATAAAAGAGATCAGACCGCTGATGAAGTGGTTGTTTCTTATACAATAATAAATACTCTTCTGAATCGGCAACTTCACTCAACGAAGCAGTAGTGATATCATCATCATTTAAATACACCCAGACATCACTTTGTTCTGTCTTTTTATGTGCATAGGCTGTATAGTGACCTCCTCTGATAGAACCATGATGATTAACTACAGCCTCTAACGAGTAAGTGTGAATGGGAAACTGTGGTGTCATGTGAAGTCCATTCACTCTATCAGAAGGGGAAGCGTAATCACTATCCGTACACCCATGAGAACGTCCTCCTCTCATTCTTGTTCCAACTGGTACCTTTGCGGTTTCTACTGTTCCTTCTCCTCCTACTCCTGCTGCTGCTGCCTCTGGTTCGGATTCCGCTTCTAATCCCTCTGCGGCATCCATAGTGGGTTCAGCATTTTCTCTGCATGAAGATGGCAATGTAGACTTTGGCGTCGCCACACTCTCGTGGAGGTAGTCCCCAAGTCGCAATACTTCATTCGATTGTGCATCTCCTGTATTCCAAGAAACTGGAAAAATAACAGGGTCTATTTTCTTTGTATTAAAACAATGTCCATACTCAAACCGCTTCATTTGTACTAATAAGTAATCTGGAAGCGATAGAAGTGTTTCACGTTTTGTAGCCTCTGATGTAGAATTACATGAGCCACAATGATATTTATTATTGCCAGTTAACAAAACAGGTTCAAAATGGACATCCAGACATTCTTGTAATGTAACGGGATAATTTACAGAACTTGAAAAACCAGTAAAGATACCAAAGAACCAACGGGCTAATGTACCTACCCATGCGAGTGGATTCATCCAATGATTCCCGGATGCACGTTTTTGTTGTGGGGAAACTCCATCAGGACCTACACGTTTTATTTCTGGATGTGCTCGAGCGTAACGTAATCGCTGAGCATCTGATGGAATATCAATAGTAAGGGATGAAAACTCCTCAACTATTCGAGAAGTATTTCCACAAGCATGACATTGTACTTCAGATAATGAGTACCCAGTAAAACAATCGGCAGCGCTATTTACAAAAAGTTTCGGTGGACGAAAAGTATTTTCGTATGGTTGTTTTTTTCTATCTTTTTCTTTGCGTTCTAATAACTCATTCTCTTTATTTACCATACGCATGAGTCGCAGAATATTGAAATACCACCAACTACCTGGATATTGATATTGTAAAAACAATTCATTCGTGGGAGAAGGTACCGAATAATCCTCTAATAAATCCTCATCTGAAGCCGCAACTGCAACCGCGTCGGTTTCAAATGAGTTCAGCAGTGTGTCCAAATCCACTTCTTGTCTACTCTCTTCAGATACATTGGCAATAATAACATTTACCATCTCTGGACAGTCCTGCTGCTGACGTCCTTCAAAGGCGGAATGTACGGCGGCGAGAGACTCTAATGCACGCAATGGTGAAATAGACTCATCACGTGATAATGGTGTAAACTCCATTTGGTAGACGAGTTCTGCAAAGGCCTGAAATAAGTTCTGTGAACTAGTACTACAATGTCGACGCAGCCGCAATGCACGGTGCAGTAATTGTGTGTGACGAAACGGGGAGTTGCAGATACTGTATACAAAGGAAGGACAATTGACAAGAAGTTGTACTCCAGCGTTAAAGTAACAGGTGTTACCTAAATTTTTTAAAGGACAAAAAATGCATGGATCGACAACCGAATGAGATGAAAACTCCGTATCATTGTTCATCATAACATCTTGCCCTTCATCTGTTTCTAGTGTTGTTTTGCTTGACATGACACAACAGTAAAGTACAATATATATATATATATATATATATATATATGTATAATTTACCTGGAACTACACCCACACCTACAGCTATAACCAAAACAACACAATACTCACCGCAGAGAGAGAGAGAGAGAGAGAAAGAAAGAGAGTAAGAAGTCATGAGGGTGAGCAAAAAAAAAAGAAGAAGGAAAAATAAAAAATAAAAAACGGAATACAGATGAGAAAGATAAAGAAATTCAAACACAAAGGTCTCATACACTATGTGAGTTGTGAAGCACCATTAGCAACTCACACCGAAATAATGGCAAACAATAGAAAAAAGAAAAAAAGTATAGAGGGAGAGACAGAGAGAGAGAAATGAGAGAAGGAAATGCAAAAAAAAAGAGCATAACACTTATCTTGGGAATATTGAAAATAAAGTCGTTCATTAAAACACACACACGGAGGAAAAAAGAGAAATAAAAACCACAAAAAGGCATACTATACTACAACAAACATTTGTCTACATCCAAGTTGCACACTTTGGGTACGTTGCAGTACTTTGCCTTATCATTCCAATATTCCACATTCTCTTTTAATTCTCTCTTTTTCTCCCTCTCTCTCTCTCTCCCTCTTTTCTTTCTCCTTTTCTCAAACCACACACAGACACACACATATACATACATACACCAATTATATATATATATAGTTATGTATATATATACTCGCACGCATATCTTCTTACCCCTACCCACTACCCCAACTTAGAGGAGGTATTTGGCAAGGTTAATATTTTTATGTAGTGATTCTGTAGCACTCCGTACCACATTAGCATCTATAACGACTTTCTTACCTTCATATTCCTGGCAGTTAAAGCTATACTCATCCATCACACGTTCAATAACAGTATGCAGACGACGTGCCCCAATATTTTGCCCATTTGCGTTTACCGTTGTTGTTACCCGTGCTAGTTCATTAACACCATCTTCAGTAAAATCCACATCAATATTTTCTGTCTTCATTAATGCCTTTTGTTGCATTAAGAGATTAAATTTTGGTTCACACAGAATACGTCGAATATCTTCCTCATTTAATGCCTTTAGTTCCACACGAACTGGTAAACGACCTTGCAGTTCAGCGATCATATCAGATGTCTTTGCTGTATGAAAAGCCCCAGAGCAAATAAAGAGAATATTGTCTGTATTTATTTGAGTACCATCTTTCATTGTTACACTGGATCCCTCAATGAGAGGAAGTAAGTCTTGCTGTACACCGGTAGAACTCACATCTGCATTAGGACTTGACGGTTCCGTTACCACCTTATCAATTTCGTCAATAAATACAACTCCATCTTCTTCTGCCAATGTACGGGCTAATGCATTTATTTGAGCTTCATCCAATAGTCGATCTAGTGCTTCTTGCATTGCCAGTGGAACTGCCTCTTCCACACGTTTAGAGACTCGTACCTTCGCCCGCCTTGGCTCTGTGTTAAGGCCAAGAAAGGCACTAACAGACATAATGTCAATACCACCAGGACCAACATTAGGTTTTGCATTTACTGGATGTTGTGTAATATCAATCACCACCATATCATCCTTGTATTCAGTCTTGTACTTTTCTTTAAACTCTTCAAGAGTAACTTCTTTAAAGGGAGAAACATCTTCTTCATTATCTTTGTCTCCAACATTGCCACTACCGCTGCTACTACTACTACTACTACTACTGCTAATACCATATGCACTAGTAAGACGACGACGTGATGACCATGCATTGAAAACAACATCAAGTGCCATTGCAAGTGCCTCTGGTTCACGTTCCATTTCTAATCTTCGTTTGGCTTTCGTCTTTGCATTAGCGTATAGTTCTTCAATAATAGATTCCACATCTTTTCCTTTAAACCCTACTTCTGTATACTTTGTGGCCTCCACTTTAATAAATGGTGCATCGGTGAGTTTTGCCATACGTCTGGATATCTCTGTTTTACCTACTCCAGTGGGTCCAACGAGTAAAATGTTTTTTGGGAGAATATCTTGTCGGAGGCCTTCGTCTTTAATTTGTCGACGACGCCAGCGATTGCGGAGTGAAATGGCGACGGCCCGCTTTCCCTCATCCTGCCCAACAATGTACGTGTCGAGAATAGAGGCGATCTTGCGGGGCGAGAGGTCGTCCAGCTGCATGGACTGCGCCTTCGCGACCGCCAACACATCCGGCGTGAGCGACGAGGCGGCGGCCGCACCGCTGCTGCACAGACGGTACCAGCTGAATCGCAACATTGGAAGAATAAGAGGAAAATAATAATAATAATAATAATAATAATAATAATGAAACAATACAAACGGATATATATATATATATATATGTAGAGAGAGAAAGTGATGAAAAGATGTCCTTTCTTTGATTAGTTCCTTTTTTTTCTCTCCTTCTCTGTTGTTGTTGTTGTTATTGGTGTTGGAACTCACCTCGCAACCTTCTTTTCCGTGTATTGTCTATAAAGTGTCTCTCTAGAACCTAAAAAAAAAAAAAAGACACTTGCTCTTGATCCTTCTCTACTTACTCGTGCTTTACTGTGGGTAGTAGAAAAAAAAAATAAAACGTTAAAAAAAAAAGAAAGAAATAAAAAACAAGGTATGATTTATTCAAATTCATCTTATTACCGAGAAATAGATATAGCTGCAGTACCTACAACATCAACAAAAAAAAAAACACAGTAACAAATACGTGAATGAGACTTTTCACTCCAAAGAGTGAAAGATAAGTAACTAATGTCATATTCTAGTTCAAGATAAAAAGAAAAAAAAAAGGAAAAAAAAAATATTTCTTCTTATACTTTTTAATCTTTCCTCTTTTCGCTTTCATTCACATTTCCTCCATGTACTACTACACGATCGCTTTCTCTCTTATTTGCCTAACAAGATAAAAGAAGAAAAAAAAATAGGTAAAGCGAATCCATCATCAAACACTAAGTAGCACCCTTCATAATAATAATAAAAAGGATGAGTCCAATCAAATTCAATAATAAAAATCTCTCTTCCTTATCTCCACTTAATTTCTTTCGTAAAACTAACATACATCAAAAAAAAACCCCTAAAACTCATCATTTCCTGTAAGCATAGGTCCATAGCGTATCATTATATGTGTCATTGCCGTGATAAGGAGTCCACCAATAAGAATAAACGTTAAGGCTGTTGGACCATTCTTATCATCGTAGCGTATCTTTTTTCTAGCGTACACACGCCGCGCACGTGCTTTAAACGTAATATATGCGTAACCCAAAGTAAGTACAGCAATAGCAACCATAGTTGTACCCAAAATAATATGAAAATTGGATCTCCAGAAAGAAGGTAATTGTACAACATCATTTGGTAAACTCATACTGTTACCAAAGCGAATTACAGCCAATCCTGCCAAACCAAGTCGGGTTGCCTGTTCTGCCCATTTCACCATATATCGTTCAGATGTTAGTAAGGTCTTGGGATCATATTTCTGGGGAACGCGAATACGTTTTCCTGTTTGCCACGGTATAAGACCTGAGAAAACTTCAGCAGCAGCATTTTTCCCTCCTGCAGGATTGAAACAAAGAGATTCCACTCCATACTCAGCGTAAGGATAGAGATGAAATACAGTGTAGGCATTATGACGTCGATCCACATCATATTGAACAACAGGAGCGAGTTGTTGTTGTTGTTGTTGTCCAGTGCTGCTTATGGACTGTGTATCGGAATCTCCTTCCCCTTTCTCAATTCTTACACTTTTCAATACTTTCTGATAAATACGTGTATAGTCTGTGCGTGGTAGAAAACGAGCCTCTGATGCCCCGACGGTTTGTGTCTGTGCGTGACCCACACCGAAGATTAATCGATCTGTTGTGCGTTCCCAACAGCCAGAGGCGATTCCTACAGTGGGATCCCATTGATTTTGTTCGGGTTTCGTAGAGGCGCGAATATCAATATCAAGTTGATGCATCCAATAAGGTACCATCTTGATAAAAGGGGTATGACCATATAAGGATGCAATACCATGTGCATATTTACTAAACTTTGGAACGCTTTCCATATATCGACAACTCATTAATTCTTCAATCCAAGGTGCAATACGTTCATTCTCAGCACATTGTAATTTAATTTCCACCACAGCATAAGGAAAGTGAGAAACAGGTGAATCCACTCCTTTATATCTCCAATGATGACCTAATCCAAAATCTTCAGCGGACATTCGAAGATCTGTATCAATACTGACTCGTATAGATTGATCTACACCTCTTTGAAAAGCAGCACGACAACATTGGGTTCGAAGTACTGGTTTAAGATCATATGCATGAATTTTTGTAAGAATTTCTGTAGCCAAAAACATAAAATCCCGTACTTGCTTTTCAGAAGCATTCTTTGCACGTAATTTATTTACAGCAGGAATAAGGCTAAGGTCTCCATGTACGTATTGGTCTACCTCTTTTTCTTTAAGGGCAAAACGACGTTTATTACTTCGTTCTCCACTCCATGCTTCATGGTGAACCTTAATCTCCATAAAAACATTATCATCTGGACCCAATTTATTCCAATCTGGATCAAATGTATCTCCATACCAACGCATACGAATAAGTGTTGCACCTTCTAGTCTTTCAAGACGACGATGGTAAAGAAGAAATTTAGCATTATCCCAATACACACTGCTGACAGGTGAACCCAATTTAAAAGGAAGACCAGTCTCTTTGCTTATTTTATACGTATCCTTAAAAGTGCTTAACGGTAAATGTGGAATAATACGAGCAATAACAAAAGGTAGATCTTGTAGATGTACCCAATATTTTACGGAACGACGATCAAAAACTTGTGTACCAACTGTTCCAGCAGGAATACCAGACCGTTTAACACTACGCATATTTTCTGCTTCAAGTACACGGTCGTACACTCGTGAAAGAAGATAAAATATCTCATCAATAGAGAGTTCATAAAAGTCATATTCAGTATTAATATTTTTCCATCGATCTCCTGTAGGTCCCAAAACAGCATAACGATACATACGTCCAATAATATGTTCAATGGTATCCATGTTTAAATTACGACATTCAACAAAACGAAGAAGTTCATGCATAATAGCATCTGCCACCAGTCGTGCTTCATTAGGAGGAATATTCTTCACTTTACCACTTCCCAAAGTGTTGAGAACCAAACTAAGGTTTGTTGGTGTCTCCTCATCTGTAAGGTACTCACATGCCGCGTCGAGGGCCTCAGCAACCATTAAAAGTTCTTTTACTTTTTTCTCACACCACTTATACACTCGGCACTTTTGCTCTATTAGTGAACTGTAAAGCTCATCAGGGGTGGTTGGGTTGGCGATATCTTCCTTCATACGATGAAGTATATCTTTTGTAGCTTTGTAGTTAATGTACGCTCCCTGCTCCTGGAAGTCGGGATACACCGCATTACGCCATGCTTTGCTAAATGGCATGTTTATTCTGCTTATAGAGTGTAATGGAAGATAATATATATATATATATATATCATCCGATATACAAATGAATAAGTTTAAGAGAAAAGAAAGAAAAAAGGAAAAAGAAAAAGAAGGGAAATTCAAAACTCATAACCCATGTGAAGCACAAATAACCGCAGCAACAAATATATATATACAGGTGGAGAACGAACAAGGAGCTTCATTCGTCCCAACAAAGAAAAACTTTTTGTTTCCTTTGGAATTCTTGTCATTCTCAGAGGTATACAAACAACAACATAAAAAAAAAGCACGGATGATATTATACATTGCATGTTCTAATTTAATGTTCTTTTTTTTTTCATTGGCTTTTTTCTTGTCTTGTTTCATATAGTGTATCAGTCTCTAACGCAGTCAAACTTCTTTATTCTTTGCGTTTCTTCTGCAACTATGATATACATCTTCATCACAACATACACACACAAACACACAAACACACATACACCGACTCCCTCATCTAATTCCTTCACATTGCCTCTCTTCAACCCCAAAAGGATAGAGAGAGAGAGAGAGATAAGAAAAGAATAAAATGAGGAAAAAGACTTCAGTGAGCAAACAAAACAAAAAAAAAAAAAATGAAGGAAAAAGAAAAAAGCAATTCTCTTGCACATATAATTGATTACCTCTTTGACTATATAATATATATGTTTGCAACTCTCCATTCATTTTTTCATAATCCCATCATTTCTCTTCTCTTTTTTCTCTTTTTCTCATTTTCTGGTTATTTATTTTCTTTTTTCAGTGTTTCACTGAGCACCAGAGGATGAATCACAACGCACAATAAAAGAAAAAAAAAGAGAGAGAAAACAAGGGCACCTCCATGAATTTAGGAGAGAGGGATAATTAGGCTCCAAGAAAGACGAAATTCAAACATATATGTATATATATAAGAGAAATACAAAAATGAATTTCAAAGAATCCAAAATGATGAGAATAGATTGGTTTCATCGTTCTTTTTTTTTTTTTCTACTTTTTCAATTTTCTTTTCTTTTCTTTTCTTTTTCTTTTTTTACTAATTCCTTCTGTAAAGAAACAAACCTCTATTCTACCGGCGGAGGATCGTACTGCACAGGGTAATTGTAGATATGACGGTACGGATCATTACCTGATGGGAGCCATGGCTTATAACTCTGCTCCTTCTGTCGTTCTTCGCGGATTCGTTTTTCCTTCAAATCATACGGATCTTCTTGATACTCTGGCACCTTTGTAATGTCCTTCACGAGTGCACCACCGGGTCTCCACGGCTTTACCTCCGGTGGTGGACGTGGTGTCTGTGTTTTTTTGGGTGGAAGGGGCTTGTTAATACCATACACGGTGCTGAATCCGTATGGACTCTCATCAAAGCAACCACCAGACTTCACGGCGGCCTTAAACGGCTGTTGTGGGCGTGGGGCGGTGGGGCGTTGTGTTGTTGCGCCTCCCACTGGGTCCGATATGTACTGCACCTCCCCTGCCTTGCCGATAGTGAGACCGGTATATCCGTAGGTTCCCTTCTTTCCAGGATTTGTGTAGATCTTACGCTTTGGCAACTCTGGCTTGCCGCTGGCGTCGGCGCCGGGCTTCTTCGATGGGATGAGCGGCAGTTCGGCCTCGTGCCGCGGCGGGTTGGACTCGCTGAAGGTGCCGTAATGTGTGCCGCTGCCGTTCGACTTGTGCGGGCGGCTCGGCGGCTTGAATGGCACCGGCGGCGGCCCACCGCGTTTTTTGCTGTCGAGTGGCTGCCGGAACGTACCGCCGGGCGGCACCGCGACGTACTCATCACCAACGGCGAGTGAGACGAACGGCTTTTGAAAGACCGCATCGGTGATGTGAGGAGATCGCTTCATCGGAACCACAAATGTTTTTCCGCCGGTTTTCACCGGTTGTGAAGTTGTGCTGCGCGGCGATTTATCATACTCATCGCCAATAGAGAGATATACCGGGGGACTGAACATGGGCGACGATGCTGTTTCCCTCCCCTTATCTGGTGTTTCCTCTTTTTTTCTTTTTCTTTCTTCTTCCTTCTATGCAACTGGATGGGAAAAAAGAAAAGGTGAAAACAAATCAAATGAAATAAATAAATAAATAAGGAGGGAAATACTTATATGACCACGGTATACAAAAAAAAAAATAAAAAATGTGGAATACAAAAAAAAAAAAGAGAAACGAATTTTATTACACCCCCGACACATTCACGATATAAACCATTTGAAAACATATGTTATTTTCACAAGCTTTTGGAACAAAAAAAAAAATTTCATAATAATATTAATGGGAGTGATAATAAAAATAAAAATAAAAAATGAAATGACCGTTTTTCATTCGTTGCATAGAAATAGTGTAACCTGTTCTGTTTACACTTTCATTCTTTTCTTTTTTTTTCTTCCCTGTCATTATGACGGCGCAGAAATAGTGAAATGTTTCCATGGACGATGTGTATTACTGGTACTACATTCGCGCTGCGAAAAGTGAACAATTGTCTCACTATTATCATTATTTGGTTGTTTCCTCTCTACTGTAACCACTGTTTGGGTTCGTGTACCGTAATTCGGCGAAGTTGCGAATATATTTCGCTGAAGAAAGTTAGCTCGTTCCAGATATTTACTTACTGGAAAATGGACCGGTGGTTGCAATCCTGCACCGTAAAGACGAATGAGTTCACTCTCCCCATCGTATCCAAGATATGGCATTGAGGCATCCAACACGTTCTGGTACTCTTCTAGTTTCTCTTTAGGCTCTTTATGAAGTAGAATCTCTTTTTGTAAATCAAACTGCGGTTCAAGACAAAGACAAGATGCAAGAGAAGTTGCTACATTCTCTTCATCAAATGGTACCTCATCTGTGGGAATATATTTGCCCAACGCCTCTTCAAAAGATTTTCGAAGTAGTAATGTCTTTGGCTCCATCCAGTTATCCATATAGCTATTCTGAAGACAATGTACAACACCATGGTTAGTGGGAGCTCGATGCTGGACGGCGTAGCGATTCGTCGTATATAAAAGCTGCGTCCCCTGAACATTAAATAAGTTCTCAGCGGTGAGTATATTGTAACCAGCAAAGTACGGTGGCGCGAGTGAAGGTGATGGAAACTTATATTCATTCGTTAAGGAAGAAATATTATCACCAGGTAGATTACCTTGACTCAAAAAATCACTAACAATACATCCACGGGAGAGATCAGGTATAAATTCCAATTCTACATTAGTTCCACCGTCAGCCAATGGCGTCGCATGTACTTTCATTCTACGCACCACCTCTGTGAGTGGCATGGCTCCACGAAAATCCACCGATGAATTGTTATTATTTTCATTCTTATTGTCATTGTCATTGTTGTTGTTGTTGATGGTGGTGGTATGCAGTTGAAGTGGAGCAGTAGGAGAACGGCGACAATTTGTAATAACAGCAAACCGCCCGCTATTTACATTGAGACCCAACCATGTGCCACCCGCCAGGCTATCAATAGCGCAGAGCAGTCCAGTTGCATTGTCAATACAAACCGGTTGTGTTGCGCGGTTAAGCGCCTCATCACGGTTACTAATAAGCACAAGGGGAAAGCGCTGCGAGAGTTGAGTTATAAAGGCAAGAATACACATGATTCTTTTCTTTATATATATAATACTTGCTATGTATCTTCTTTTTTTTAATCTTTTTTTTTTTGGTTTCTAACAATATACCGTCGAAAGGGCAACAAATCAACGGTTACAAATAATCCATGTCGTAGACGTAGTAGTAATAAGAAATAGTAGCAAAAACCAACACAAAATCACTAACAATAATAATAATAGTTATTATTATTATTATTTAAAAAAAAAATAAGTGACAAAATAGGGCATCTCTCTAAAGCCGATATGTTTCTTTATTACTTTTTTTTTTCTCTTTCCAGGAAGGATGAGATTCGTTTTTTTTTTTTCTTTTTTAACCACCGGGAGGATTTTTCCGGAGTTCCAACAGTTTCGGTATAAGTGGTTTGCCTTCTCCCAACCCGTACTTTTCCTGCAAGAACGAAAAGGTGTAGCTATACTCAGGATTGCAGTAGACAAAGTAAACAAGAAGTCCAATTACCGCCGTCGCACGAAAGATGGCATGCCGCACAAATCTCTGTTCTCCCACAGTACGGGGCCGTGAAGGGGAGAGGAGGTACGACAGACTCGTACGACGGACAGCCTCTTCTTTACCAGAAAAGTGATTGCTCATGGAAGTTTCAATGCTTTGGTATATTATGATCTTCACACATAATATATATATATATATATATATACAATATATTTATGCAATTGAGAATCAAGTATTCACTTTATTTAGGGGTATAGTTAAGAAAAAACAGAGAAACGAATAATTAAAGTGGCATATTTTTTCCACACTAAACAAACACAAGAAGAACACAGAATAACAACACCAACGAGCGAAAACGGCATCAAGGAAAAGGAACAACAACAAAAAAGAAAATCATCAAGCAAAAAGATCTACACCTCCTTGTAAGCATCTCTCTTTTTTTTTCTTTTTTTTTTTCTTGCATCTAGCAACTCATATGATCTTCACCACGCCTCTTTTCTCATTCTATTCCTTTCGTTTCTCCTGATAGCAGACATGGTTATAACTATTCGCGTGTTTTGTATTGTGGAACTGAGTTCGACAATTAACCCCATACCAACAATTTGGTCTTTGTGTAACACTCTCAGGAAGATCGCTGCTGGGAATAGCCCGTCGGTAATGAAATAAGAGCGATGCAAATACAGTTTCCATACACCCTTCACACAGTGCGGAGTCTGCTGTCAGTTGATCATTCACGCAAGTGATATCGGGAATCCAATCGTTAGATTGCATTTTTGACATGCACTCTTTCCAGACTGCCTCAATGCTGATATTTTTGGAACTTAGATATCTAGAGAGAATACTTTGTTCAATCATATTTCCTCCAAATGTTTTCTGAGGCAATGTAGAGGGGGGACAGTACTGACGAAGACGTGTGAGTCCGCCACTGCTGCCGCATGGACAACCGCCCTCTTCTTCGTAGTAGAGATTGCAGTGGGGAATATTACAGAGTTGGCAGCATTGTGGACGGCTGCAGAGTGGCCTTTGTGGGAAAAGCCGCTGACAATTTACGCATGAGTGATGTAATCCACCTTCTGGACAAGAGTAGCCATCTACAGTAGAAGGGGCCTCGCAGTGACGGCATGGCCCAGTAGGACGGAAATGACCATACGTGTTTCTTCGGTAATGTATAGGAGCCAATAAAGACTGATTGTTGCCATCAGAATCACTATCATCATGTTCACCACTATTACTGCTGTGGTTATCATCATCATCATTATCATTATCATCCATGTCAGCATCACGTAGACGTTTCCTCAGTATTTTTCCACTGGGTGGTATATCGTCAAAAGCCACACACGCTGCTTCTTCTTCGGGGGTACGTTTAAGGTGTGGGTTGCCGTTTAAGAATTGTTCCACGCAGTTTTGAAGTTTATGCGTAGGACGCACTTCAAACACTTTGGCACGGCATTCCATACATGTTGAGTTTCCCTCCGCCAACCATTTGCTGATACAGGAAGCACAGAACACATGCATACAAGGGAGTAAACTGCATGGACGCAGATAGATAAAGGTACAAACAGAGCAAGTAAGCTCTTGCTCCATCTTTTCAATTCCCACTTCATTAGTAACACGCTGAAAAACATACTCCGCACTGGGAGTATCCACATCTGTGGACTCTGTAGGCTTCGTGAGAGAAAGACGATCTCCCGACTGCAACTCCACATCCACCCCACGTTCAATCCGTACTCCATTAATGTATGTCCCATTAGTTGAAAGATCGCGAACAGTTACCTGTTTCGTAAGAGGATTAATGCGCAGTTCACAGTGTTGACCAGAAACGCGGGCCACATCCACGCGGTGCTCCACCACAAGTTCTTTAGACCGGCCAAGTATGAGACTGCCCATATCCCGGTAGATGTCGATCGTACAAGAACGAGAAAGAGCAGAGGGCTCCTGAACGGGAAGCAGTCGAGCCACCAGAGGTCCATTCGCGGAGGGTGCCAACAACTCAAATGCGTCCTCTACGGAGTCTGTCGGGTGTGTCTCATCCGGTGCGGCGACTTCCCAAGAAGAAATGCGATCAATAACACTATTGTTGATATTATTTGACATCTGATCTTTTCTTTTTTCTTTTTTGTTATCCGCGTTATGTTTTCTTTTTCTTTTTTCTTCTTTTCTCTCCTGAGGCTGCTCTTATTATTTGTTTCTTTTGGTAACCTTTCTTTTCTTTTATCTTTTTGAGGGTACCTACGTGTGTCAGGTGTGTTGACTGGTCAATCGCAGTAAGAGGTACAAAAATGAGTTTAGGAAAAGGAGAGAAATAAGGAAGCATGATGGAAAAAAAACGCAACAAAAAAAAAATAATAATAATAATGCACAGAAATCAGAGACAAACAGTAGTGTGGACCTGAAAGTATTGCAAACCGCACAGAGAATCAGAGTCGATGAAAAGCAAAATCTACCGCAGAACTTCAAAAGTAATAGACTCACACACAAACACACATAGACAAAAAAAAAAATTCATGCATACTTCTACAATGCCCGAGATAGAGACCGAAACAGATAGTTTGACTAAGGAAAGGGGGAAAAAATAAACATAACCGCTAAAGAAACATATACACTGAGACATCCAAGTGATAAATAACAATGGGACGGAGTAACAAACAACAACAAGTGACTGCAGGAATGTGTAACAACACAGAAGCAGCCAAACCAGGAAAAAAAAAGAAAGTAAAAGGACGGTGAAGAATAGAAATGAGAAAAAGAAACAAAACAAAACAAAACAAAAAATAAATGCAAAGACCTGTTCAAATATTTCCCTAAAAATCACATATCATTAGTATTATTAATATTATTATCATCCACGTTGCTTCACTGGGGCGGTGTTGTTTCCTACTCCGCGCCGTAGTAGGTCTGACGCTCTAACAGTCCCCTCTACAGATGTTGACACTTCATTTTGAAGACGACGCACCCGTCGCAAATGATACTTACGTGCCTCCTGAAGAGTGTCAATGTTGTCATCCAATTCCTCCAGCTGTTTAGATGCTTGTGCGAATACAGGTTCTAGAGACTTCAATTGGGAAATTTTTTTTTGAATATCAGATTTTTCGTTACGGTATTGTGACTCCTGTCCCTCGTTAAGATTACCTGACTGCAAAGCATCCTCTACATACTGTAGGCGCAGAGTAAATCCTTTTAATGCTTTTTTCCAATTAGGCATACCTCCTGTATGTTTCTTTGCCTGCGACAATGCTTTCCTTAACTCATCACGATCTTCTGTTAGTTCATCAATCTCCTTTTCAAGATTTGCAAGTGCCATTAACTCTACATTAATATCCTTCTGTATATCATCTGCTCGTCCATTTGAATGATCATTTTTGGGTATAACAGTATGATGGGATACTGTCTGACGACGATTGTTTACAGCTGTTACACTATTTTTAACCCGTGCAATTTCACGTTCCTTCTTCTGCAACTGTACCTGCAGTCGTGCTACTTGTGCTTCTGATTCCCGCATTTGTTTTTGTAATTGACTCACTTCTTGCGCGTGAGAGAGCGTCATTTTTTGAACTCGTTGCTGTCCCTCTCGTACAGTGAAGCGCTGTCTATTGAGTTCATCATTCATTTCTAATACATGCGCCTGTAGTTGCTTAATCATTTCAGCATTTGCCTCACGTGCATTAACAAGACTTGTGGCCTCCTGAACTTTCCTTCTATACTCTGCAACTTCCTCCTCCGCTTTGCGTAGTCGTTGTTGGTAATGCGCCTGTAATTTACGTCGTTCTTTTTCTTTACCATATCGTTCCATTTCAGTTGTCTCTAATTTAGCTTCGGCACGGGCCAACTCCTCCTCTAATCGGCGTTTGACGCTCATCATTTCATCTTGTCGTTTCTTAGAGTGTTCTAATGCCTGTGCCGCCTCTTCGTTTTGTTGGACTAACTGATGGATTAAACGCTCCTTCGACTCAATTTCTCGAGAGAGTTTTTCTTGTATAGAGTCATCCACTTCATGGTCTAATGAAGACACTGTTTCACCAAGTCTTGCTAGTCGAGCCGTATCAGCTTCTTTTTCCTCTTTCAAAGCCTTTAGTTCATCCCGTTCAGCCTCTAATTGATCCAGAAGCGATCGTTTCACTTCAGAATTACCTTCATCTAAAAATGTAATATCCTCTACCTGTTTTGCGACATCTGATTCTACTACGTCCATATTCGTCTGGTATCCCGCCTCAAGTTCCTGTAGACGTTTTTCCAGAGATTTACGCTTTTCTACTTCTACCATCGCAGTGTACTCAGCGTTAAAGAGATCTTCTTGAAGTCGGGTAGTCAAACTACGTTCACGTGCAAGTAATTCTTCAACCTCTTCCAATCGAGTTTTTTCTTTTTCTTGAAAAGCATAAGATGACAATGATTGGTGATCCCGAAGCTGTTCATGTGCATCTTCTAGCTGTTTTCGAAGCCACAATATGGTTTTCTCTGCATCTTCTAATGTTGTACAGCTAGTTGCTACTTGAAATGGAGTAGTACGGATAGATTTAGCACGATCAGCATATTTTAATGTATTAAGTGTTTCTTCAAATGATGAAACACATGGTGAAACACAGGCAATCATAGTCGTTTTAGAGTTACCACTCAACATTGGTTGTAATAACCGTGTTAACTTGGAGGTTCGATATGGTACATGTGATTTCCTTTCGCAAAGGGCAACAATAACATTTCCAAGTGCGAGAAGACCACTATTAATACTAATACCTTCACGCATTCTTGATGCAATTTCTATACTACGTGCTGCTGCACGTTCATCATCTGTTCCATCTATGCCTCCTGTTGAAAATCGTCTACCATATGCTTTTTTAATACGTTCACTCCCCGCAAGGTCTACCAGTCCAAACCTCGACACTGTTCCGTTGTGGGTAAGAGTTACAGTGAGAAGGCAATGGGAACGGGAACTCGTTATATTCATCAATGTGGAAGCTGTGCGACGATTAGCAGTTGATCTTTCAAACCATGCTAACAACTCCTCCTCACTGTCCACAGTCACCTCAGAAAGTCCCTGAATATACACCCCACAACGCGCACCCTCACGCAACGGCAACGATGGACCCAAAGAGGCACTTGCAAGCGAAACTGAAGGTTGTGAAGCTGCTGTCATTGAAGCTATAAGATCGCTAACGTGTTCATTGTACACTTCAACAGCAGAGAAACGAAACTCAGGTTTCCGGTTAAATAGGGGAGGATCAGTATTATCACCATCATTAATATTGGTAGTAGAATTAATAGTTCCAGAATCTACAGTTACGGTTGAATTGGTAGTAATGGGATTAACTTTCAAAAGTTCATACACACGTCGAACAACATCTGATGAGAGGCTAGACATTGTATGTGTTTTACCTGCACCTGTTTGTCCATATGCTATAGTGGAAACGGTATAACCCTTCACAAATGCATCCACAAGTGGTCCTACAATAGCTTCATTCACTGTTTTATTACTTGCTTCCATGTCAAATATATTATCAAATGCAAACTGACGTTCATCTCCAACACTAATTTGGTGCCCTCTAACTGTTAAATATGGTTGTTCTTCTTCATCTGGCAAAAATGGACGGACTCGCACCAGTACTCGTATATTTTCCATTTTAAATCGTCTAAAAATGTGTTTCAGGTATGTGCACCGAAGTACTACCCTTGGAGATAATATGAAATATTTATGTATTATGCATATTATCAAAGTTTAAAAGAAGAGCCAATTTCAGAAAAATAAAATAAAATAGAAATAATAATAGTAATAATAATAATCATAACACGAAAAAAAAAGAAATTATCTGGATCAACAGAATAACGAGTTTAAATAGGGCACACAACACAATAGAAAGAAATATGCTGGCAAGGTGGAGGTAGAGACGGAAATGAACAATAATAACATGGGTGATCGTAAGAGTGTCTCGTACCAGTTGCAGAATAAACAGAGTAATAGGAAGGGGGGAAGAAAAAAAAAAAAAAGAAAAAAAGAGAAGAAAAATAAAAGTGAACAATAATAATAAGAGCGATGTCAATACGAACGATAAAGAGATACTTTTCTCCCATTTTAACCCCTTTTTCTTTCTTTTTTTTTAGCATGCAGATCAGCGCTGTCGCACAGACTCGACAATTGCACGGTGATGATTTATGATAAAATCAACAGGGCTTGGTTTAACACTCTGCACCATTGCGCCAATATCACTATACTCCGCCGGTGACATTGAGGATCGCAGTGAAACTGAACTGAGACGCGTAGGGGGCTGGTATACAAGAAACTGTGTAAGATCCGTATCTGACGACGAGTCGCTGTAATTTCGTCGTGAAGATAACAAGCTAGATTCCCTTCTTTGCGATTGCCTTCTAGACGTGTATACACTAGCTTCACTTTCCTGATCCTGATCCAGATGATGCCGGCTCTGCTGCTTTTGTTGTCGATGGTGCTGCGGTGTTGTTCTAAAATGTCTTAATCCCTCTGTTTTGTAAGGGGTATTTTGATTAGAGTGGGAGATTTTTGGTCGCCACCACTCTTGTGCCTCTTGTTTGCGGCGTCGTGACTCTTCCTGTCGTATAATGTGTGCCTCGTAACCAGAAATTACATCGGCACTTTGTGCAGGTAGTGGGTACACGGGATCAACCACAGGATGGAAAGAGCACTCAGACAACTGTGAACGCTCCAACTCCTGTCTAGCACGATTAAGTCGTCGATCCCGCTGCTGCATCCACCTTGCATTCCTCTCTAATACAGATAACTCACGCTCCACTTGGCGTTCCGGTGACCGGCCAACTTTTGGGTTAAATGTACACTCTGCCATTTCTTTAGCAGCTGCCATTTCCCGTCGTCTACGTTTCTCCTCTTCCATCCGTTTCTGTGAGCGACGCCAGAGGAGTTCACGTGCTTCTGCTGGTGTCCGTGCATATCCGTCCTCCTGCAGTAACTGTAATTGACGTTCCCACATTTTCTTAGAGGTATGGTTAATGCATGGCTGAAACGTATACACCTCCTCGTCTTTTTCTCCTTCTTTCTTTATCCCATGGGAGTGCGCCTTTTTATCAGCACCTCCCAATACATTTTTGGTATTAGAATACATTCTATTTGTTGAGTTCTGCTGTAGTGCAGCTTCTCTTTCCTCTTCAGCTCTTTTCCGTTCGATGATAAGGCGTGATGTTTCACTGATGCGTGGGATGCCTGTAAATTCTTTTTCCGCATCTTCAATCATCTTTCTTTTTTTTTCCTTAATGGAATTAGGAATTTCATTTCGAAACAATCTCTCATGCACCGGTGCGTTTGGATCTTTGTAATAGTTTTGAAACATTTTCTTCGATCCTGGAGCTACACGTGGCACAAATGTACATTTGTCATCCTGTGATACTTGTACACTAGTTGAGTTGTCGGCGAACAAGCGCTCCACCACATTACCAGGACGATGCAATTGCTTTGCGTACTCCGTTATATGTGGTGTGAAAGGCCTTCTATGTTGCATTACCTCCGAGGTATCACAACAACCACTAGAAAAAGAAGATTCGCTACAACTACTGTTTAGACCTGCTCCTTGCTCCACCAACCAATACATGCGTTCACGTTTTTCCTCTTCCTTCTCCAGGAGGTAATCCTCTATGCGCTGACCCTGCCGCCGCTCCGCAACGGTCGGCCCCTGGGCGTACTGTGAGATGCGGGGCGTGGGCCGCATGTTGTCTAAATCCCGCCGCAGCGCCTCCTCCCGCAGCCGCGCGAACTTCGCCTCCCGCTGCTCCAACCACCGCCGCGTCACGTCCACCGGGTCTCGGCCCCGCACGGACCGCCCACGCGCCGTCACACACGGCGGGCGCAACTCTGCCGCCAACTCCGCCTCCAACCGCTCTCGACTCTGCGCCCGCCGCTCTTCAATGGACTGCTGTTGTTTGGCATGCAACTCGTACAACCGCTTCTCAATCGCCTCACTGCGACGGGTGGTGGAGTGTTGGTTCATGTTCTCCGCATAGTCCGACACACGTGGTCTAAAGGTGCATGTCTTCTTTTCATTCTCAAGCTGCTGGCGGCGCAACAACTCGCGATGTTCCTTGTAACGCTCTCCCGCGTGGTGAAGAAACGACACCACATCGGTGTCAGACGCCGCGGTTTCTACCATCGCCACTCTAGTCTTACGGTAAAGTAAAAGAAGATTAAATATGGAAAAAAAAAAAGGACACAAACTACAAGTTGACACCCAGTAAATACACATAAAGCGACATTCCTTTTTCTTATGAATTCGTTCCCTCATGTTGTCATTCACAGTAGAGAGAGAAAACCACACAAAAACTTACAAAGATTCGCAAAGAGAGGAATGAACACATCCTTTTTTTTTTTTATTTTTCTTTTACTTTACCCAATCTAAAGTTGCTGCAGCAATTTGGAAGTAAATGTCGCTGAATGTCCAAAGCGACGCATCTCAAGTTTACGGATGCGCTGAGCCAATAGAAAAACAGAAGCCTTAATATCATTGGGGATCGGTTGTTGTTGTTGTTCCTGCCAATCCACAGATCCTCTGGCATTACTTACATCGCACGGCATCTCTATGCTTCGAATTGGACCTCTAGATAGTTGATTAGTATCATTCATTTTTATGTCTTCTTGGTTATGGGAAGCAGTTTCCCTGAAGCTAATATTCGATGAATTTAACCCGGGTCGTGGTGGTAATGAAAGATGATATCTACCACTATCTTTTATAGTGTCACAGTTACTAGTGTGAGAGGTGTGTTGTGTATCAACGAGACGCTGCAATGCCGTTAACTCTTCGTCATCATTATCCAAGTCAGGCATATTTGTTGTCAATAATGGTGTGAATTCACTTTTCTGCGGTGGTAGTAGATCATCATGGAGCAACTGGTTCAGGGATATGGTGCGTGGGTCCCGAAATAAGTCTTTATCATCATCATCATCATCAGGATGGCCGCTTACAACCACTCTATCTAGTACCCAATTACATCTTTTTCCTCGCTGTTGGCGAGATACTGCCGAATCGACGGCTCTGGCTACTAAATTATCAGCGTCAAGATCAGGGTTGTCCATTTGTCCCTGTTCAGGTCTCTCCAAATCCGTAAAGGAAATTTAAACAAAAAAAAAAAAAAACATAGAAACAAAGGAAGAAGGAAAGAATAAGAACTAGATAAAAAAAAGAAAAGAAAAAAGGCAAACCATTATCAGTAGTAGACACATTGTTCTACTTCAAAAAATATAATAAAAAAAAAAGACCTCCGAGAGAGACTCCAGAGGAATAAAGGAGAAATGTAATTCAAATATAAGAAAAGTAGAAAATGAGAGAAAAAAACGAGATTAAATAAACAAATAAATTCTATATAATTATATCTATACTTGTAGTCATTTTGTTTCTTTCTCTTTCTCCCTTATTCCATTTTTTTTGTTTCTTTTGTTGTTGCAAATTACCTTTGCCGTACAAGATCTTCTTCCATTTCTCGTCGCAGTTCCAATCTTCGCTGTTGTGCCAACTCAAGACTATCAAATGTCTGTTTAATAGGGATGGCCATTGTTCTGTAGCGCTCCTCAGCCCGTGACACACCTATGCGACATACCCTATAAATCTGGTATAGCATAAAACAAGTGATCATAAAAAGTGAATACACCAAAGCATCGCTGATAGCGGCAGTGCTGCGAAGCCTAAGGCGGATAATAAATATACGCCAAGCAAAATAGCGTCTAACAGCTGCTATACGGATTCGCCGTAAAATACGCCATGATGCCACTTCATGTGCCTCCCGATCAGCATTCACTAGCATGGTATGGTAGTGCAGAAGGCGAAGCCCCAACCTAATACTTACCTCCAATGAGTGAACTGAAAGAGCCCGTTCCATCATATCTCTAGTCTCCCCTTCCTTGCGGAGGCGGCGGTAAAGACTATGAAGAACTTGCGCTGACTGTGGTGATACATGCAATGGTTCATCACTTATTCCACGACGCTGAATTCCAGATGAAGGAACAGAAACTGCACCAACGACAAGAAAACTCACCCGTGCAAATCGTAGCATCTATTAAAATGAAGGAATAATATATCCCTATGTATTTTCCTACACCACATATTAGACCATATGGCAAAGATGAGGGAGGGGAAGAGGGAGAGAGAAAGAGAAAAAAAAAAAAAAACAGAAGGAATATGACACAAAAACGTTTAGGTGAGTCAACAAAGCATTACACATGAATCTGTGGTGACAATGACACATGTCACCAAGATTAAAAAACAAAAAGAAAAAAAGAGAAACAGAAAAGACAAGAGATACAGTAGAACAAAAAAAAAAAAAACGAAAAGAAAATGTCCCAGTGATTCTAGGGAGGAGCAATCAGCCGTCGTTCCAACGACTCTAATGTTCCTTTCTTTCTGATGCTCCCGGTGTTTTTGTTGTTGTGGTGGTATTGGTGTTTTTTTTTTTTTTTTTCTTCTACTAGCGTATGTACTACATCCCGGCGAAAATGATAGAAGGTACAAAAAAAAAAAAAAAAAACATATCCAAACCGGACATTGTGGGTAGCCATACCCCCGATAAAGAATAATGGTAGTAATAGTCATAACACACAGTGCATCCTCGTGTGAGGTTTACACAGAAACTACCACGTTGTAATACTACCACAAAGTGGGGAAATACCGGCTTATATTTCCCCCCTACTCTACCCTCTACCCCAAGCATCAATCACGTGAATAGGAGCGTCCCCCCTGTAATTGTGTACGAAGGTTACCCAAAAAACTGCTTGCCTCCGACATGAGTTTAGTCTCCCGCTCTTCCAAACTATCACGCTGCTCTCGCAGGCGTAATTCTTGCTCTATTAATGCGCGCTCATGCTGAGAAACGAGCTCGCGTTGTTTTCTCTGTTCCACCAGTTCCGCTTCCTTCTGTTTTGCCGCCTGTTCTCTTTCATCCACCTGATGTTTGACATCATCTAGCTGATGCTCCCTTGTGCGGAGGCGTCCTTTGGCATCCTCCACCGCCTTCTCACTCTGGTCGCGCCGTAGGGCAGCCTCTTCTGCCTCGCGAGAAAGATCTCGGCCCATCCCCTCTAGTTCGCGGGCGTTATGGTCAGCGGCAGAAACGTTGCGTTCGGCGATTCTCACGGCGTCTTCGGCACGTGGCACATCTCGTGCGGCTTCATCGGCGTCTTTTGTGGCATCGCGTGCGCGTTCTTTTCCCACTGCGGCATCGCGGGCGGCCTGTTCGGCAGCGAGTCGGGCACGTTCGGCGGCGCGTCGTGCCTCGTCGAGTGCCTTTTCCAGCTGACGGACTTTATCGTCTGCGCTTGCGGCCTCGCCGTCGAGTGCGGCCGCCCGGCGGTCTAATTTCTCCGCATCGCGGGCGACCTCCTGGGCGGCCTTCCGCATTTCCTTCTCGCGCTCCTTCACATCCAGCAGTTCCTTCTCCCGCTCCTTCTTCTCGCGGATTGCGCGCTCCTTTTCACGCTTTGCATTGTCCATATCCCGTGTGAGATCACGGAGGCGGTCGGTTCGGTCCTTCAAGTCTGCCTCCGCAGCGACAACGGCGGCCTTGGAAACGTCAACGTCCTGCTCCGCATCCTCCACAGCTTTGCGTGCCAACTCAACCGCCTGCTCCGCCTGCCTCACCGCAAGACGCTCAGCTTCTATCTCACGCTTAATTTGCTCCTCATCCCAGAACGCCTTGGAGCGGAAGTATAGGCAATCGGTCATAATTGGGTAGAGACGAGCAAAGCGTTCAAATTCCGAGAAGGATATAGTTCCATCACGGTTTGTATCTGCCTTCTCAAAGAGGTCTTCCACTGTAGCGGCCGAAAAATCAAGGTTAAATGTACGGAAACCCTGCTTAAAGTCTTCTAGTTCTAACACTCGGTTACCCTTAATATCCAACTCTGCAAATAAAACGCGTACCTTCTCCTCTTGTGTGGCTTCAACAGGTACCTTGGGAATAAGCGCACCAGATGTGTTTGCTTGAAATGATGTACGGCGAGCAGATTGTGGTTCACCACGTTGACTTCCTGGCGTACGGCTACCAGTGTAAGGTGCAAGGGCACCTTGTGATGATCCACCATTTGCAGTACCGCGTGTTGCTGATGTTGCTGCTGTTGCTGCTACAACTGCACCAGCGGTAGAATTGTTCACTGGATAACGTTGCGCAGAGGTTGGTGGTTTTACTGCTGCCGGAATCTCCTTCTGGCTTTCCTTATGCCATGGGTTCTCTGGCTGGAATGCGTATAGTTGGCAGTAGTCAAACAACTGTCCTTCAGAAAGCAAATCTACCCATTTGCTTTTCTCCTCATCGTATACCTTTATTTTGGCCACGTGAAAATTATGTGGTGGGACATTTTCTGGGCGACGAAGGGCAATCTCGTTCGAGAATGCGGCCTCTGTGGCTCGGGTCACCTCAAGAATTGTTGGCCTGTGTGGAAAGCCAAGCTCGAAATTAACTTTGCTGTTAAAAATGTCGGCGGCCACCTGAGCGACAAACATATTTTTCTTCTTTGCAGGTTTTGTTTTGTTTTGTTTTCTTTTTTTTTTTTTGTTTTTCTCTATTAAAAGCTGTAATGCTTTAATGCACCTTATTTTAACCTTTAATTCTATTAGGATTCCTTTGCTTTTGCTGGTGACAACAGACGCTGTACAAAAATTATTCCATCATAAAAAGCAAAAAGAAAAAATGAAAACAAGTGAATGAGAGGGGGGGGGGGAAAAAACCGGAACAGAACCAAAAGAGCAATCTACATTACAAGAGGCGTAGATAAAAATAAAAAAGACTCGGTGAATTTGACCACTAAGAACATACACCCCCCCCAAAAAAAAACAAAGGTAGAGTAAAACAGAAAACAAAATAGAAACAATGGAATTGGCCCATACGATGGCGACAACATTTTTTTTTTCTTTTCTTTTCTTTTCGTTTACCACCTCTCTACCCTGCAATAGAAAATTAATTTTCGAATGAACCACGGGGAAAGGGTCCAGGGCACGGCTTGTTTAACTGAAACCTTAAATTCAGGGGTGAGTAAAAAAAACAAAAACAATAAAAAAAACATAAGCGAAAAATAAAAAGAAAAAAAGAAATTGGAAAAGGAAAACGGAAAATGTAGTGTACTATGGCGCCGAAAGGTCGCCACAGGAACCATCTTTTATTTTTTTATTTTTATTTTTATTTTTGTATATGACGGGTAAAAGAAGCAAACACATGTAGTAGTAAGAACAATAATAATAATTATAACAACAGAACAATGAGTGCTTCAAGTGAGCACGCGAGCGATGAGAAAAGCGCAAATCGAAGAAATAACAAAATAGAATTCTGGAATACTATTGTCGCACATCACCCCTTCCCCAAAAGGATACCGGTCAAGAAGATAGAAAAACGAAAACAAAAAAAAAAGGAAAAAAAGGAATGTCATGGTAATCAAGACACAACCTAGATTAAAAAAAAAAAAAAAAAAACGCTCGCCCTGCGTACAATAAATAAACATGAAAAGGGAAGAGTTAGAAGTGCTTTGACTGCAAGCAGTCTCTCTTTGGGCCCATCCTCTTTTTGTCAAACCACGTGAAGATGAATGTCTTGCAGGAGGCGTTAGAAAGAGGAAAAAAACAAAAAAAAAAAATGCACACTTGCACAAATGACTGTTCCTCTTCTTTACTCGTCAATGGCATCTGATGGTATGAAAGACACTTGCACGTGGACACGCCAAAGTGCCTCAACCCCCGTCTATTTATCACAACTATTAATATTTGCAGCACAAACACAGTCAGGGGCATATACCACCGTTTCCGAGAAAAAAAAAAAGTAAAATGAATGATATACATATATAAAAAAAAAAAATGAAGGGAAACCATGGAAAAGCGTGCAGCACTAATATCATGAAAGTCAAGAACACACAATCAGTGGTGATCTCGTAATGTACTGCAAAAAAAAAAAAAGAAAAAACTTTGTAGGAAAGTAAACTCCGCTACACGGGCAGGGGATGACCGGTAACCAAGGGATAAATAGGAAAACGGGATGTAAGACAGTAGGCACACAAAGAAAGGGAGTTTAATGATTCTACGGAGAAATGCAGGGAATGATTCAGGGAAAGAAAAAACAAAAAAAAAAAACAGCAAAAGGAAAAGAAAAAACAGCAACAACAAAAAAAATGACATTCTGGGTAAGTCCCACTTTCGTCAGGGTAAAACCTGATGAGCACCCTGAATTCGTTAATTTGTATGATGTTCTTTTTTCTTCAACTGCTGTATTACTTGTTTTTTTATGTATTCTTTTTTTTTTTTCTTTTTTCTACTTCAACACCCCCCACTGGATCCGTTTCATCACGAATTTGTGACTTTTATCTCTGAGTGACTTAGTGTGTATGAGTCTATGCGCACTTACAAGAAGAACATAAGACGACATAGTCAAACTCAATTTCGGCGCGAACTCTTTTTCACACACACACACACTGACACAGGTACAAAAAGCCAAAGAAACACGACCACTCATAACCGGAAGAAAAAAATTTTAAGGCAACATCCATATAAAAAGGGAAAAGGTGGAAAAACCACATCAAAGTGAATTAATAATAATAATAATAATAACAATAATAATAATAACAACAATAATAATAGTAATAATAATAACAATAATAATAATAATGATAATAATAATAATAATAATAATAATAATAATAATAACAATAACAATAATAATAAT